TATATATAAACACACACACACACACACACACACACACACACACACACACACACACACACACACACACACATATATATATATATATATATATATATATATATATATATATATATATATATATTTATTTATTTAGAGAGAGAGAGAGAGAGAGAGAGAGAGAGAGAGAGAGAGAGAGAGAGAGAGAGAGAGAGAGAGAGACATATGTGTGTGTGTGTATGTGTGTGTGTGTGTGTATTACATACATATATTTATGTAAGTATATGATTTAATATGTATTTAAAGTGTATATATGCACATGTATGTATATGTATACATATATATACATATATACATATACATACATATGCATATATGCATATGTCATACACACACACACATATATTTCTGTGTGTGTATATATCTGTGTGTTCGTGTGTATATTGGCGCACACACACACACACACACACTCACACTCACACACACACACACACACACACACACACACACACACATACACACACACACACACACACACGCGCGCGCGCGCGCGCGCATACACGACACACGCACTGACACGTCTTATATTTTTAGGCAATCATTTTATGTTTGCAGTCAACTGTATGTCATGCTGAAGGTTGTCCGTCTCATAGTTTCAGTAATAAATCGATGATAAGATGTAATGCTCGCTAAATAGTTAGATTGTGGGGGTTTTCTTTTGTTGTTTAAATTAAATACAAGCAGGAGGATTTTTTATTCCTATATCATCTTTCTATGTAGTTTTTTTTTTATTTGATTTGTGTGTGTGTGTAAATATTTCTAATAATCCTCATATAAAACTCAGATTATACTTGTCATTCACCGGCCTCTGATAGAGATCTATAACGGCCGGGAAAGTACAAGGCATCTGGATAATAGTAGGTCAGTGCCCAGCCCTGCCTGAGGGATGCAGGTGACATGCTGACCTCCAAAACACCATCAAGTTCTCAGTGCCAAGGCTATATTGAGTGAATAATGCATGGCGTACTTATCCCTTTAACCTAACCTTATTAAATTGTCTACATTCTGTTCCGTATGTGCTGTTCATTCTCTCCTAACTTATAATCCTCCTAGTTACCACGCACATCTCTGTTTTTGCTGATAAGTGAACCTGTTAATGCGGCCGCTGGTACCTGGGGCAGAATCGCTCTTATAACGGGTTCTGAGACGCTGGTGTTTTCAAGGGCAACCAACAGGTATCTAAGCACACACTATCCGCACCCACGCTTCTCTCTCTCTCTCTCTTTATATATATATATATATATATATATATATATATATATATATATATATATATATATATATATATTTCTATCATTTTGTCTATTTGTCTGTCTGTCTGTCTGTGTTTATTTCTTTCTGTCTGTCCATCTCTGTTTCTCATATATGCAGGTATTTGCAAAGCATTACAATGATGAAAAAACTATTCCATTTCAAGGTCACGTCTTTAATATAATAGTGTAATGTAATGTTACACTATTCATATAACGCTTAAAAGTTAAAATACTAAGATTATCGACGATCAATATATTTCACATTTCTATTTATTTGTGCTGGAAAGATATTTACTTCTGAGACGTATAGTCACGCTTGTACGAGGAACTCCAAAAGAACATTGCAGGTAATAGAATTTCTCGTTTGATACATTCTGAAGATGTATTCTCCACAGGGGCTAACAACCGTACTATTAAATAAAATTAAGGGTTAACCAATGGGCTTTCAGAGTCTGTTTCCCTTCCCCTCTCTCTAACGTTGAGGGTTTTAGCTAAGGGAGGTGAAAGGTAAAAGCCTTACGTGGATCCTTTTCTCATTATCTTCTTTTATATATATTCTATTTAGAAATGTATAATTCGTAACTGATTGTAGAATGCTAGAAAATAAAAACACGGTTGCAGAAAACCAAGTGAAAAATTTAAGTAGGCCTACAATCCCTGTACATCAATCATCCGCAAAAAACTATATATCTTTTACCTACATTGCAAGATTACACATATTTTAAAATATGTAATATAGAACTAAAGATATGTACATGTACATATATGTATAGATATGATTGTATATACACAAACATTCAAGAATTACAATAAATGAATATGATCTGTAACGTATGTGAAGTTTATCTTTTGCGTGTTATCACCAAATAAGTAAATATGCCTTGTAGTTTATCTAAATTCATTTGAAACTTAATGAGGTTTGTGCTGAATGCCCCAAAGGTAATAATCATCAAATAAGGAGAAAGTATTTAAAAAGATTTATTGGGCTTGACACTATAGGCATGGGGCCGTTAGAAAACGCGCAACCTGATCGTCTGATGTAGACATGCATTCACGCATTTTTTGTTCTTCACTTTTCTCCATATTTGAGCATAAACATTTCTGTGCTAAGCAAATATTGCGTGATAATATTAAGTAAAAATTTAAATTTCGTATTATGAACCACGGAAGATTACACATATTTTATATGTAATATTTTTTTTTATTACGAATTCTGGCAGGTGAGGTAAGATTTATTTCCGTAAGGATAACACTTGAAGGTACAGTTTAGGTTCCTTTACAGAGTTTTGATAATGCGGCCGTAAGTGTGGGAGTTTTGGTGTCGCAAGAGAGCCAGATGCGAGTGAAGCGAGGCGCCACTTCCCAGGCAATACGCCTTTACTGTTTCTGAATAGTTGGTGGTGGATCATGGACAATGTTGTTATAGAACACTTGAATTATTTTTATGTCATCAGAATTTGTAATGCGGTTCCCAGATGGACTGCCAAGAAGTGTCTTTTTTTCCCTTTTAAGGATTTTAAGTTTAATTTGGAGAAAAAATGTCTTCCAGAAAAGTCAGTGTGGTTAATCAACGTTGTGTAAGGTTGTGTCAAATACACCGGCGATATTCTGACGTGACTAGATGCTTCACTTTTGTATCAAGGGAACAGTTGAATACTTCCCTTTAAATGTGTGTATATATATATATATATATATATATATATATATATATATATATATATATATATATATATATATATATATATGCGTGCCTATATGTATCTACACACACACACACACACACACACACACACACACACACACACACACACACACACACACACACACACACACACACACACACACACACACACACACACGCACACACACACGCACACACACACGTACGCACACACACACGCACACAGACACACACACACACACACACACACATATACACACACACACACACACACACACACACACACACACACACACATGAATTTATGTATGTATGCATGTATATGGATGTATACATATCAGATCCTGTTCGGCGGTATAAGACATCGCTCAATCTTCACTCCTGACTCTGTGCCTCTCGAAGCAAAGCTAAAACCCCGTCGGACGCCCCGCTCATGCCCGCTTGCTGCCCCGGCTGACGCGCTCCGCTTCCCCGCACTCGCGCGCCCCCGGCCGCACCCCGGAGCCAAACAGATCGGGTGGGCCACTTACGTCAAGGCTTTTCGGTATATTTCCCACCACTCAGCGAGCCTTATCTCAATACTGCGCATCCTGAGTGGCCGAGTAGATAGGTTGATTAACTGTTATTGTTGGTGTCCGGTCGCTTCCCTACCTCCCACGGCCCTTGGCTTCCCGCTCGACACTTCTCCCTTACGCCCTCCACCCGACCATAGGGCCTATGCGTCTCAGGTGGTATGTGTTGATGTGTACTTTCAACTCATGTGGGAATCGTGGGAATTTCTGCCATGGATAAATAGTCGTTGTGTTTCTGATTTTCTCATTGTTGTTTAGTCATTCGCTCCTACAGCTTCCAGCCTCTTCGAAGTTCGTTTATCTAACCTCTCGGCATAAGTGGTCTTCTCAGACAGGTTGCTCCCGCGCCCACAGTCCCGGCTAGGTCATTACGAAACCCAAACGAGAGTATAGAGGGGTATGTTTTCCGAGGATAGGGAATGTATTTTTTATATAAATAAATTAACAAATAAATAGGTACACACACATACACACGCACACACACACACACACATACACACATACACACACACACATACATACATACATACATGCATATATGCATATACATATAAACACATACATATATATGTATGTATACATGTATGTCTATATATTACCAGATGCTCCCTTTATATGTTACTTTGACTTAATATTATTCATTTGATATTACAGTTTTGCTGGAGGTAAACCCTTGAGTTTTCGTAGTAGGCCTATGCCTCATGTTGTCCACTTTGTGTAAAATACTGTGAAACTTAGCCAGTTCTACTGGGGAGCCAAAACAAAGGACTGTGCATGTGAGAAATACCCTGAACCACTTGGTCTTAGTTTTCTTCATTTTCTATATAGGTATGCCACCCCTTAGGTGTTAGGAATAGGCATGTTTCTAGTCTATCGCGACGTCAGTCTCAAGCTCCCGAACACTTTAGCCTGTTGAGCCACTAAGCACTCGTTTATACATATGTGTTTTATAGGATATAAGATCAAAATCGGCAGAAGTTACGGCAATTTTTTCTTTGTCTTTCCATCACGACAACGCATATTATCTCGATTGTGTGTGTGTGTGTGTGTGTGTGTGTGTGTGTGTGTGTGTGTGTGTGTGTGTGTGTGTGTGTGTGTGTGTGTGCATAAAGTTTTCTACATTTGTCAACATGAATATGGTTCATATTATAGCTCTTTATAATATGTATTTCTTTGTCGTTCTATCTACCCACCTATCTGCCTACATATATATCTACCGATGTATACGTATATGAATATTTATACCTGTCTATCGACCTTTATATCTGCCATCTATCTGTCTATCTGTATTTATCTATCTATCTATATATCTATATATCTGTCTATCTGTCTGTACATACACATACATACATTTATACACATATACACACATAATAATCAATTCATTTATGATTTGATGTAAGTGATGACTTTTTACCAGTAATGGAATATCGCTTAAATAGAACCTTGTATTTACAGATGGCAGTGACGTCATTAATCGTGGTGACCTTGTGTCTCGCTGTGGGTCAGGTCACCAGCGCTGCAACTGACAAGAAAACAGGTAAGTTTAAACCAGAAGTCCGAGGCAAAAAGTTTCTTCCGCTCTTTGCTTTTATTTTTTATGGGGTTTAAAATCCTGGGCATGAAGCTCCAGATTTCCTGACTCCACTCTTCTGCCATGGCGAGAAATGCTGTAAATGAGGAAGCTAATACGGCTGCTTTGATTGGCAGTTATACATTACGTAACAAATAAGGATTACCTCCTTGAGTTAGATATCAAGTTCCCGCATAGTTTGGGTGCAAATGTTTCAAATAATGCGACAATTATTATTTTTTTCATTTATAATATCATTTATTTATAGGTGTAACTATGATTTTTTGGCATTTGAATAATTTTATGTAAGGATAAATGGTATTCAAAGTACATTTTTTTCAGTGACGGAAATGTATACGAATATAAAGCTATAACCTATGAATATCCGTATGGCCGCGGTGAATCCTAGAATAAGGATGTGGCATGGCAACTCAAATAGACCCGTATAGTATGAATATATTTCCCAATGCGATGGATATTAAACCCCATTTGTATGCACCCTGGCATAAATGTTCATGTCTATACTGAATATAAATTGCTTTATATATGATATTTAATATATTTTGTATAACCCGCATAATCATTTCGGGTTTTATAGACCAATTCTTGTCACAAAGTTGATTGTTGTACGTTGGTGTCTTTCTATGTATTTTTTTTTTTATCCAGCTCTTTGAGTCGTTTTCTTCCTACTTGAATGTTTGTTTGTTACTTCCGTCTTTTATCATGCTTTACACTTTTGTTTGTATTTCGTGTGCACACTTATTGTTTGTTACAGCGACTTTTCCTGTGAATTGTGTTTTCTATTTTTTGTTTGTCGACCTATATATCTGTCATCTATCTATCTATCTGTATCTATCTATATATCTATATATATATATATATATATATATATATATATATATATATATATATATATATATATATATATATATATATATATATATATATATATATATATATATATATATATATATATATATATATATATATATATATATATATATATATATATATATATATATATATATATATATATATATATATATATATATATATATATATATATATATATATATATATATATATATATATATATATATATATATATATATATATATATATATATATATATATATATATATATATATATATATATATATATATATATATATATATATATATATATATATATATATATATATATATATATATATATATATATATATATATATATATATATATATATATATATATATATATATATATATATATATATATATATATATATATATATATATATATATATATATATATATATATATATATATATATATATATATATATATATATATATATATATATATATATATATATATATATATATATATATATATATATATATATATATATATATATATATATATATATATATATATATATATATATATATATATATATATATATATATATATATATATATATATATATATATATATATATATATATATATATATATATATATATATATATATATATATATATATATATATATATATATATATATATATATATATATATATATATATATATATATATATATATATATATATATATATATATATATATATATATATATATATATATATATATATATATATATATATATATATATATATATATATATATATATATATATATATATATATATATATATATATATATATATATATATATATATATATATATATATATATATATATATATATATATATATATATATATATATATATATATATATATATATATATATATATATATATATATATATATATATATATATATATATATATATATATATATATATATATATATATATATATATATATATATATATATATATATATATATATATATATATATATATATATATATATATATATATATATATATATATATATATATATATATATATATATATATATATATATATATATATATATATATATATATATATATATATATATATATATATATATATATATATATATATATATATATATATATATATATATATATATATATATATATATATATATATATATATATATATATATATATATATATATATATATATATATATATATATATATATATATATATATATATATATATATATATATATATATATATATATATATATATATATATATATATATATATATATATATATATATATATATATATATATATATATATATATATATATATATATATATATATATATATATATATATATATATATATATATATATATATATATATATATATATATATATATATATATATATATATATATATATATATATATATATATATATATATATATATATATATATATATATATATATATATATATATATATATATATATATATATATATATATATATATATATATATATATATATATATATATATATATATATATATATATATATATATATATATATATATATATATATATATATATATATATATATATATATATATATATATATATATATATATATATATATATATATATATATATATATATATATATATATATATATATATATATATATATATATATATATATATATATATATATATATATATATATATATATATATATATATATATATATATATATATATATATATATATATATATATATATATATATATATATATATATATATATATATATATATATATATATATATATATATATATATATATATATATATATATATATATATATATATATATATATATATATATATATATATATATATATATATATATATATATATATATATATATATATATATATATATATATATATATATATATATATATATATATATATATATATATATATATATATATATATATATATATATATATATATATATATATATATATATATATATATATATATATATATATATATCTTTGAGTCGTTTTCTTCCTACTTGAATGTTTGTTTGTTACTTCCGTCTTTTATCATGCTTTACACTTTTGTTTGTATTTCGTGTGCACACTTATTGTTTGTTACAGCGTCTTTTCCTGTGAATTGTGTTTTCCATTTTTTGTTTGTGGCGTTGCTTTGTTGAGTTAGTACAATCATTCCTGGCGTGTCTGTCTAGCAAATGGAACAGTGCACACCATGCCATCTTGCAGAATGTGGATTTGAAAGCAAAGGAGTGTACATCGCAGTAACGTCGGAAGCGGAGAAGGTGAATGATGAGTATCTTCGGTGGTTGGAAGCCCATTGGTTTGGCATGGTCGATGTCGAGGACGGCGACTGGGTAGGGCTGTGGAGCCATGACCCGGAAGAAGGCCTTGGCGGATTGCTGGACGAGTACCCAGTCTCCACTACAGATGGGAGCTTCAGGACAGGTCAGCGCTGGAATGGAAGCCTCATCCCTGACGACTTGACTGGGACGCAAGATAGGTGTCTTCCTTACTGGGTCGGTTATGTGAATAAGGGAATGCTGACTCACTCATCTTGCCTGATGATACGACCGCACTGGCTATCAGGTCTACGCACCAGTCTGATGGACACGAGGTTATCGAAGGTGGTTCTGCCCGGATCTCACGACGCCGGAGCTTCAGGGCACTTTGGCCTGGCGATCATCGGGGACCTCGTGGGGCGCTGGACCTTCACCCAGGACGAGAGCCTGTGGCAGCAACTGGTGCTTGGTTCCCGCTACCTGGACATGAGGATCGCTTATTACAACACCACGCAGGAAAAGTTTTTCGTTAATCACGGGGAGGTTCGGATCGCTCCCCTTCAGGGTTATCTCGACAATGTTGTCGCATTCATGGAGCAAACCGAAGAGATTGTGATTTTCGACGTCCATGGGTTGCAGCATGGGTTTGATGGGCATCCTGAACGTCACGAAGAACTGATAAAACTTCTAGAATCTAATTTCCAGAAGTGGATGGTACCAAAGTCACTCTCGCCAGACCCGACACTGGGCGAAATTTGGACGAGCGGCAGTCGGCTGATTGTCACGTACCCGTCCTCAGAAGCTTCAGCCTCGCCTTACTTTTGGAATAACGTCTATCACTTGTGGGGTGATGTGAATAAGCTCGAGGATCTAGAAGCTTTCCTTTACACCTCCGTTCCGCAGCAAGTGACTCGCGGGTCCCTGTGGTCCTCTATGGCGGAGTTAACGCCGTCGGTGATGGATGTGACGCTGGACCGCTGGGGCGGACTCAGGGGCGCGGCGGCCGTCACCAACACGCCTGTCACGCAGTGGGTCAGGGAGGACCTGTGGGACCAAGTCAACATTGTCGCCATGGACTTCCTGCCCGCGTCCGACGTGGTGGCTATCGCCATAGAAGCCAACAAGTTGAAGACAGAATGCGTGGGAAAGAAGCGGCTGACAAACCGCGCCCGGCGATGGTTGTCTGTCATGGCTAACTATGTCAAGGACGTGCAGGCTGTTGTTGGCAATCAACGTAAGTGATATAGGCATAAAATCTATTCTTGTCATACATAGGTCATGCGTCAATAGAACGTTTCTTTGGCCTGAAATCTATATCACATTTTATTTATTTGATTTAGATCATTGCAGTGGTTATCCTTTACATTATGTTTGATAATAATGCATGTAAGATTCGAAAGGAAAAGAAAGAATATAAATGGTTTATTATTTGGTTTTAGGTTAACAGTACTATATCTTTTCTGTTTGGCCCTGTGGCATTTATGGTGGCTCTGGCCAGGTTCACCACGCATTTGGCTGTGGGTGTCCGCCCTGGCTTCGACTTCTGAAGACGGTCAAGTGACGCAGAGGCAACTAGAGGTGAATTGGGAAGTGCCAGAAGTGCTTGAAGGAGACTGGATTGGTATTTTTGACCACGACCCCTCTCTGGGCAGTGCGTCGCACCACGAGAGCTTTCAACCGGCCGCTGAGAAG